AATTAGAAGGTTAGCTATATATTTAATAGTTAGTTTATGATAATTTATTATATATATATATATATATTTTTCAAAAAAAAAATTGAATGTATAAAATGCTATTGTATAATAATAAAGATAATATTTTATTTTAAATTTAATATCAGGTTTAGGTTATAGGTATTATCCAGTTCTAGCTTATCATATAGTTGAAAAAAAATGCGAATATGAAACTAAAGATGAAAAATGTGTTACTATTCAAGAGAGTAATTATAATAGTAGCTCACAACAGATGAAACATGCTATATTAATTGCCATAATTGAAAAGATTTCAACAATACTAGAAAAATATAATATCAAATTAAATATTGGTGTTAATAGAGACCTTTTTACAAATAAAACTTTAGCTTTGTTAAATGTAGTTATCTAAATATTTACAGACTTGAAACATAAAGCAAAAATTGTGTGATCAAAGATAGGTAGGTATTAAAGTATTTAATTTAGAATTATTTATTACATGTAATTAATATAATTTATTTATTTAATATTAATAGTATCAGATCGTAATTGGAAACTTCTTGAATAACCAATTATGAAATATTACACAAAATGTATTTATGCGGCTTCTGTCAGAGCTAATAATTCAGAAATTTCAACTCCAACTGACAAGGAATTAGCATAGATACATACTGAAGATGTAATTTGTCATTTGCGAGAAAATCATATAAAATGTTAGCCGGAAGTTTGTTAGATTGTAAATAATCCTGATTTGAGCTTACCAACTCCCAATTTAGTTAGTACAGATAATAATTAATGTATGTGACTATTAGAATTTCTTAAAAACAACAAAACTTAGAGAAAATCAAAGTTTAATAACGATAATACGTACCAGTTATAATGAAGCATTTAATTGTTTGAAATTGAATTATACAGAAAAAAATTTGATTATCTTAAGTTTTTTCAAGCTCATCATGCACTTTTAATTATTTATAATAATAATGGTTTTATAGAGCTTTAACGTAAAGTTCGTATAGCGGGTAATTTAGCAAGTTTTTCTGATCAGAATGAAAAAAACCTATTTAAAATTTGAAAACAAAAAGAGCAAAAAAAAAGTAATCTAATAGCATAACAAAAAACAGGTTAAAAAAATTATTGATCAAAAAAAACGATTAAAAAGTTTTGATTTCTCTCAGTATTATTTATTATAATTTGTATAATAGTTATATTTTAATTCTAAATTTTTATTAAATTACAGTAGCAATCATAAGTATCTGACCGCCTGAGATCATCCAAAATTATTATATAACTACCCCTTAAATTTTTCAGAAATATAATGTAACACAATACATGATCACC